GTCTGCATTCAGTCAGTTAACACTCTGGTACCATCCACAAGCCATAAATCCTCCATAATTTGGAAGAAAGATGGTTGGGGAAGGGGAGTTATAAGTTAGCTAACAACCCATTCCCCTTCAGAACTTAACTGTGAACTTGACTTCCCTTCTGCACTCCTGTCGCCCTCCTCCAGCAATGCAGCCCCCGTCCCTCTGAAAGGAGGAAAGTGCACTTGCTTTTTTCTTAGCTTTAGTGGTTCTAAGAACCTGAGATTTGCCTCCAGATTTGGGCGCCCCATGAAACAACTGCAGGTTCACCTCCTTCTCCTCTCATGGCATTCAGGGTTTTTTTTCTGTCTACTTCGACTCGCAGGGCCAGGTCTGCCGTCGCCCTAAATATAGTGGCTGGCCCTGGAGACACCGAGCTCCCTTCCAGGAGCCCTCCCAGGGAAGGGGCTCTGCCAGGCGCCCAGGACAGGGGACCATCCCTCCCTTCGACTCCTGTTCATTCCTGCCCTCAGGACACCACGAGGAAGGCGAGCCCTCCGGCCGGCTGACAGGTCTGCGACTCCCAGACGGGCTCATTCCGAGCAAGGGACGCCTCGGAGGGACCGGGGGAGGCGTGCGGGTGGCGCTGCAGGGGCGCACCGGCGAGCGCCAGATTCAAAGGCTGAGCCGGGGGCGCACAGCAACCGGCCTCCCGCGCTCCAGAATAAAACGGCACCTCGTTTAAAAATGGAAACGTTCTCAACAGCACTGTCCCCAAACAAAACCACTCACCTGCCAAAAGGCCACCAGCAGCACCCGCTCCTCGGAGCCGCTGAGCAGGCAGCGCCACTTGGGACTCATCCCTGCGGCCGGCATCAAAGCTCTTTTCTAGCGCCAGATGGGGCAGGTCCTAGCGCTCTGCCTATTGGAGGATCGACATGTCACTCATTGATGGCCCCGCCTCCCTCCCAGGAACAGGTCGAGGTCTTTTCCGTTTCCCAAATCCCTGGGGTAGAAAGTGAGGCTCTGATTGGCTCGCTGCGGAGACGAGCGCAAATCCGGACCAGTAAAGAACTGGCTTCGACGCCGGTGGGCGGGCTTGGGTCTGGGGAAGTAGCAAAAGCAAGCCGGGAGCGCGGACCCCGCAGTGGAAAAACCTCGGGCGTGGGTAACGTGCAACCCGCGGAGGTGCTAGAGAGAGTTTCGCGTCACGAGGAAAGTACCTGCCAAAGTAGAGAAGTGTCGGCGGAAAGTTGGAAGGGATGAGGTGATGCCTTTTTTCACTCCTGGAGGTTCAACCCGGGAGGAAGGTGGGCAGTCCCCGCGGAGGAAAGCGCCGGCTTTCCTCGTGGTTTTCAGTCTGAAATCGTGATTAGAACAGAAAAGCCTTTAAAGTGCCGGATTTGTGGGCAGTAGCTCCTCCGCGCTTTCTTAGTGCTTTCATAGGGATTCCCCTGAGGCAGTTCCCTGACACTGTCTTGGTTGGGAGAGAAAAGTAGTAAGTGGGATGCATTAAAGCTTATACAGCCGAAAAGGGGGGAGGATGGAGTGGAATGAGGAGAATTATAAATTTGGAGGCCACAATTACCGAGCAAAAGAAACCTATAAAAATACCCGAAGCTTCTAAGCGGCTAGAACCAGCACGCCGGGGCTTTGAAGCACAAATGTCAGGACTTTTTCTTCTGGGTAGGTGAGAAAGATAAGGAATGGCACGTCTGCCTGACCGCACGGGAAAGTCCCCTTCTTTCTTGATGTCTGAAGCTGACCTGCCTCGTGTTTAGTGTCCTCTTGGGGAGGATTTCCTAATTCAGCCTCATAACAAGTCCCGNGATGTCTGAAGCTGTCCTGCCTCGTGTTTAGTGTCCTCTTGGGGAGGATTTCCTAATTCAGCCTCATAACAAGTCCCGTAGCCCTGTGCCTGCCACGCAGGTCCTCAGAATAATTACGCATAAATTCGAAAAGCTAACCTCCCCACGTTTGTAGCTCGGTGACAAGGTAAGTGTTGAATTCGTTGAGACCTGAGTGTAGTGAGTTCAGGATCTCACTTACCCTTGTTGGAGCCTAACAGTTCCTCCTGGGATCTCGGAGATCAGAATTTAACTTGGAAGTGGAGGGAGGTGCCTCCCGGTCTTGGCTCCCAGGAAACAACTTCCAAATCCCATAGTCTTACCCACGTGCTCCTGGTTTTCTCCCTGGTGGATGGCAACCAAGTGAGGGGGAAGTTTTTCTGCTGCAGAGTTGGACACAGCTGCCCAGCTCACGCCCACCATCTATGCTCCAGCCCGGCCGCCAGAGGGGGCAGGTCTTAGCGCTCTGCCTATTGGAGGGTCGACCTGTCACTCATTTACGGCCCCGCCTTACGCCCAGCCATTCACAGGTGTCAAAGCATTTGACGTGTAGGGATGCTTCACTCTGCGCCTGCGGGCACCTCCCGATTGGCTTTAGGTTTACTGTTGTTATGGGTACCCGTGGACTGCTAGCTTGTGACGTAGAACATTAACAATGTCAAACATCATCTGTGCCTTTTAGAATCTCATTGTACAGGTGAGGACTCTGAAGTTTCAGAGATTTGTTCAGAATTACTTAGCTGCTTGGGTGCAGAACTGGGACAAGGACCCAAGGTTGTTAATTCATAATTCTAGGAAAATGCTGCTGCTTCTGCTGCTGCCCCCCCCCACCTCCAAAGCAATACGTTTTTAAAAATCAAGATTACAAATTTTAAAATTAATTCCAATTAAAACCAATCGTGAGGAATTTGATTCTGCTTATAGCAAGAAGTATAGATACGATGAAAATAACTCAGTGTCTCAGGTCCCTATTTTACTTCTGACAGCTCTTGATGTAGTTCCACCTTCATCCAGATAAGAAATGAAAACGCAGTAATTTATTATAGCCATGCTGTCTTTTTTTCTTTCTATTATGTGTGTATATCGGAAAATCAATTCACATATTGTACATTAAGGATTAAGTAGCTGGTTGTCTTATCGAAGACCTGAATAAAATACTACTTTATGATAGCATACATACCTGGCCAAAATAATTTCACAGCTATTTACACAGAATCCCTTTGTACATAGGGTCTAGCTGGCTCACCAAGCATCAAAACATCATCTACTCGCCTAAGCTATTCTGCCTTTTTCTTCCCTGGCAGAGCCACTGGTTCCCTCCCTCTCCCCAGCAAACTCCAGAATTAGTTGGTCCTATATCCCATGTACAGGACTGGTTCCTTGTCTTAACAGTTTTCAAGCACTTCATGACCTGGTTGTCTGCTGCTAGTATGTAGTCTCCCACCCCACCCCACCTTCTTCAGGGTCAGATTAAAATCTGCCACTCATCATCTGGTGTAATAGGCCCATGTTTGGCTTCCATTGCCCTTCTAAGTACAGGGAACCAAAAACTGGTATCGCTCTAACGGATCAGCCACAGAGACCCACAGAAGGGGTCTGAAAGCCACCTGCCCTTTCATTTCCCATGTTCAAACAGAATCATCATCTCACAAGGTGGTGTGAAGAGTAATGGAAATAATTTTGCCATCTTTGAAGGTACATTGCTTGACCTCAGCCTGTGTCATTGTCTGTGAAATAGTGATAATACCTAAGTGGCCAGTGGAAAGTGAAATGAGAGAATGCAGTGTATACCAGACTGTTGGGAAGCATTCAGTAAATGGTACTGATTCTTAACAATTACAGTAATGATAAATGTAGAGTGTTTTAACTACTTACAAGTACCCTTATTTTAAGAACTCAAGAAACTCTGGGCCTGTGCTTTCCTCTCCTTTCCAGGATCACTGCAGAGGTTATAGGACAGGGATTTCCCCAGTTATCTTACTGCTACCCAGTGAGGAGACTGTCACGAAGTGAATGGGTAAGAGGGTACAGACCAGTGGCAGGTCCAGGAGCTTCTGGTATTGGGAAGTCTGAATTATGTGAAATTTCCCTACTCTAAATCTCAGCAGTGAGTGAGCATCCTGGAGCAGAAAAAGAGCCACACTGATTTTTTTTCCCCCCCATTCTGAATTTTTTTGGGAAAATAACTTTGGCGTGTGAGTGAAGGTTAAAAAAGGAGGAAACTTGCAGAAAATCAAGAGGCACTTTTCCCTTTTACAAATTCTGCTTAGGAAAAAACCACATTTCTTTAAATACTTGTCTTTCTGTGGTGGTAAACAAAGTAGTCACAATTTCTGCCCTGTGGAGTGTTTTCCAAATGCTTTATCATATTTACTTATTAGAGCATTTTATTAACAAATATTATAGTTACTGTATAAGGTTTAGAAAAGAATTTAAAACACCCATAGTCTTGCCATTCAAAATTAATTAACAATTTTTATTTTCTTCTACTTTGTCCCTGTAAATCAACTATTTTAAAAAGACTGGAATCCAGAGTGTGTGTGTGTGTGTGTGTGTGTGTGTGTGTGTGTGTGTGTGTGTGCTGTTTTTGCAGCAATAGTTACTTAATTTATCATGAACATCTCCCCATGTCATTTAATATTCTTCAATATATAATTCCATCATGTGAGTGTGCCTTTGAGCATTGTATCTCACAGTTCAACCAATCTCCTACTCTTGGGCATTGAGTTTGTTTCATTTTCTTGAAAAGATTCAAACATTTAAATGGGTTGCTTGTTTCCCTGAATGACAGAGTGCTCTGAAAATGTGTGTTGAACCAAAGGCACTGCCTCTGGCAAGGAAGGGACAGGGGGAAGGGTGCAGCTTTTCTTTGTTGAGGGTGATCAAGTAGCCAGGAATTCTATTCTCTGTGGCCTGGTATTGCAGAGCTAAGAAAGGTAAAGCCCATTAAAGCCTGAAAACACCTGAAGGATTGCCCTTTAACCCTTGCTTTTCTCATGGTTTCCTGTTCTTTAACCTGGAAAAAAGGTAGTTAGGTGAGAGGAAATTGGGGGAGGGGTTGGAAATCTGGGTTCCATTAGTAAAACCTCACAAAACTCATGGCTGGCATATGTATTTCCATTTTACAGATGAGGAGAGTAAGGCTCAGAGACAGAACTGGTCCAAGTCTGCACAGCTAGTTAGAATAGGACTCCTAGGCTTGGGTCTGAAATTTGAACTTTGTTCACCATGCTTCCCACTGCTCCTAAAAACTGATGGATATAACATCATTCTTTTTTTCCTGTGGGAAATTTTTTGTAAATCTTCTGAAAGATATTTGTTATCTGCTACCTAAAAAAAAAGAAAGAAAAAGAAAATCTTGACTATTCAAGTATTTCTTCTGCCTTGAGTCTCCTGAGGTAGCTTGCTCTTAGCTAAAAGAATATATCCTCATTTTTTGATGAAGAATCAGATATGACTTAGCTTTTCTCCCACATAGTAATTGCTTATTTTCTTACAGAAGTGACCGCACTGTATACATTGAAAGGTCACAGTCATAAAAGGAAGTTCTTATAAACCCTGCAGCACTTTAACAACACTACACATAGTTCCCTTAGCTTTGGGGATTTATGAAGTATGACCAAGTATATATACAGGGTGTCCCAAAAAATGTATACACACTTTAACAATTGATAGCTCTTACATTTTGAAAATGAAATGTATTTTAATAAACACTGCCTCTATAATTATTCAAAGTGTGTATATGTTTTTTGGGATGCCCTGTAAATATATAGCAATAAGCCTGTTTTTCTAGTTTGAATAATAAACTGGCTCTGAAGGAAATTCTAGGAGAGGCTTTCCAGAATTATTTAGAGCCATGAAGCATCTTGAAATGAGTGTGTACCTCCCAGTATGACACTTTGAAGGCAGTAACACTTTTTGGCAATGTAATTTTGGAATGATTTGTTAAAGTCTCTTTACATAATCTAATAAAAATCAGTTTCAATCAATGGTACATGTTTTAAAATATGTTTTTCATCTCCCCTCTCCACTCCACCCCCTGCACACACACACAGACACACACACACACTGCCAACACCCTAGCCCAAGCTACCATCATCACCTCTTGCCTGGATTTCCTCAGTAGATTCCTAACAAATTTTCCTACATCCACTTTTGCTTTCTTTTAGGCTGCCAGGGTGATATTGGTAGAGTATCTTTGTGATCAGGTCACAGCTAACACCCCTCTTCCCCTACCTTAAAACTCTGCAGTTGTTTCTCTTTGCTCCTAATGGCCTTCTTCCCCCTCCCTCTTGCCATTAGGCCTTTGTACATGCATTTTCCCTGCCTAGAATGCTGTTCCCTTCCAAGTTAAAACACAGAACAAGAATCCAGTTTTCCCAACTCTCAGGCTGAATCTCTAATGCAAGTGTACTACTGGGGACTAATAATTACCCAACGGGGAAATGTGATTCAGAAATTCAGAAGAAGTACAACAGTGGGCAAGAGTGTGGGCTTTGGAGCGTTCAAGCCTCAGTTTCAACTCTGGCTCTGTTCAGTATTGACCATGTGATCTTGGGCAGCTTGCTTAATATCCTTGCCTCATTTCTTCCGTTGACTTATGAGCATAGTGATACCTCTCTTATAAAGTTACATTATTTAAATAAGTTGACACATAGAAAGAGCTCAATAAATTTTAACTTTAAAAATACAATTTTTTACGGTATGGAACAGAGTCAACCTTTTTGATCTTCTCTTGTTTTCTTCTGGAGAAAAGTAGATACAGCAAGTAACTGGGAGGCCCTACTAGGGCAGGGAAGGCTGGGCCTAGCAGATAAGGTTTCAGAGGCTGCACTATGTAGGGAAAGGCATGTGATCACTTAGCCAAAACAAGTGCCAGGCCACAGATGATAGTGCGTTGAGATAGCATGAAGCCTAGGGTGAAAAAAATACACAGAAAAAAATTAAAGAAATCTAAAATAGAATTTAAAAATCACATCAGCAGACAAAAGACAATCTATTTACAAATGAAACTTTCTTAAACTTCTAAACATCTTTTCCTTGTGTGATAAGCATTTTCCAGGCTGCCTGAGGTCCCAGAATTTGGCTTTGAGAGCTATCATTCCTATAGCTATTTGTATGTGCTGTGCTGTGACCAGAGAGAAGCTCCTTTACCTCTAGATCTGTGATTCCAACATGAGGGACACAAAGCTTTTCACGTTTCCCATTTGAATCCTCATAGAATCTTTACTAAATAAATTAAGAAAATAGCTTGACTGGTCTCATTTATTAGTGAGTTTCCAAGTAAACTATGACAAAAACCATGTCATTACCAAAAACTGAATGTAGGCCTTTTTATGCCAGTTGAGGGGAGTTGAGATG